TCCCCCCCCCCCCCCCCCCCCCCCCCAACAAAAAAAATAAAAAAAATAAATATGAAACTTGAAACAAACCTACCCCCCCCCCCCAAAAAAAAAAATATATTAAAAAATAAAATTACTTTGAAAAATATGGAATTAAAGTCCAAATAAAGGACAGTGTTCAATTACAAATATACGATTTTAAAAAGTTCATTGCAAATCACAGACCAGTGTATATTTTTGAAACATAAATCTCATCTTTTTTTAAGGCTACGACAATGACAGATTGGATTATAATAAATTACTGCTTGAAGATTCCATGGGCTCTTATGTCATTATCATTTCATTTATCCACTAAAAAAACCCCCTCCATTCCAACTACACAGATTCTCGCTTCTTTAGACATTTCAGTTTTTTTAGTAAGTGTTTTACGGCCCTTGCAACACAAAAAGGTCCTATAAGTGCCGAACACTAGAGGTGTTACAAGAGAGTAACATACACAAAAAAGGAGGAGAAATAAGGACGATAGATGTTTTATAGGAAAGCAGGAGCAAACCACACCAGAGCAGAGCACCCGCCAACCACCCACTTAGACATTTCAGTCCAGCCCTTTCAAAATGTCAATTTTATTACCTGCAACTGTTATGTCAACACTGTCTGGTTTACCTCTGTAGAAAGAAAAACAAATATCAAAACATGACTGAGTAAATTTTTCATTATTATATATACATTACTTATAGATCTATATTCAAAAGTCGAAATTGTTTAAGACGGCCATCCACCGTTAGGAGAAAAGTGGGAGTCCTTTATTATAGTGGACATTTAATTTATGCACACTAGCACAGTCGCTTACATTGTCTTTATAAGTGTATTTTTAAAAAAATGCATATTGTGGGGGAAAAGGGAAGAGGCCTTCTGTACAGCTTTAAATTGTCTTATATACCGGAGGCTGTTAGAACAGGTTTGACAGTATGTGTACAAATAAAAATTTGTACGTACTGAAAAGATTACCATCATGTCATGCTGATTTCTCTTTGAGCACACGAGACTGTATACACACACACATACTGTATTTTCTAACTGTATACTGGGATTGTTTTTCGGGAGGGGGGGGGGGGGTGGTTTGCGCATTACTTGAATTTGTTATTTTAAAAGAAATGTACCATTCTTGTCATTTGCAAAATGTCAAACGGGGCACCCTTGCATTGGAACACATGAACTAGCAACTCAAAATTGCGCACTACAAATGTTTGTCAAAAACGTAATGTTGACAAACCGTGGAAAATCTCAGCTGGTATACTGATACCATAACTAACAACATAGGAAGTCTTTACTACACTAAACTTTCTATACTTAATTCTTACCCATAAACAGACTTCTCTACACTCAAAAGAGTAGTGATATAAAATCATACAAACATGAAACACAGAATGAGTTGTGTCAATTACTTGACCTTTAACTGTACAGGAAGCGAAACTGCTATAACTCACTGCTTATCAGCCATGTTTCTCAATGTTGTCCCCTGAGCACTCACCATTTCAATGTAAATAAATATATATAAAAAAAAGGCCACCTCTATTCTCACCCGGGGTGAGAATAGTGCAGGCGGGTCTTGTGGCTATTCTCACCCGGTGCGCGTGTCAACAAATTTTGCGTTCACCCTAAACCACAGAATTCTACACTGTGATAAGAGAAAAATTGTAGAATTCTGTGCTGTGAACAAACGTTCCATTACAACTGTACTTGTAGCCTACTAAAAGTGTACAATTTTGTCTGTGGGCAGGGGAGAGAGAGAGAGTGAGAGAGAGAACAAATCAAAATGGCGACCCGCGTAGTTCGGCTCGATTCGAAAAGTTAAATAGCCGTAGCATCTTTGTAGACAACCAAATTAATTTACTTTTGTGTTTTAACATCATTTTTTAACTTTGTTTTGGTCAATTTGATCGTCCACACCGATAGACAGTATTCAGAAAGAGACAGAGAGAGAGAGAAGAGGGGAGGAGTAGATCTTGCGAGAACTTCCGGGCGGGTGAGAATAGCCACTTTCTTAAAAAAAATTAAATTACAGCGACATAACTGACAAAGAGTCACAATACACCTGCAGTAAGGATGCGATATATTTTATAAATAAATAATAAAATAAATTTTGAATTCGGAAACCACAGAGGCTATGGCAAAGGTGGGAAGTTGAAACAGAACCGTAACCACAGCATGACTTGGGCAGGTAGTAAATAAAAACAAACTTTTAGAACTTCAAACTACGCGCTTTTTCGGTAGTTCCCACCCTGCAATTGTATTGTCATTCGCCGGTTTTGGCCTCAAGAGTAAGGGGGTTTCAGGGGGGCAGCCCCCCTGACCAAATAAAAATATGATGGGGGGTTTCAGGGGGGCATGCCCCCCCCCACCCTGAATTTTACCATAATTTGATTTTTTGCAGTTGTTTGGTTTGAAATCTTAGCTCGCCGCCCATCAAATGTATAGATCTCGATGTAGGTCAGGCTCACATAAGGGGGGTGGGTACTACCGAAAAAGCACCCAAACGTCAACTTGGCCTTGATCTAGATCAAGAATCTCCCTCTACTTAAATTAATAAAGATAGCCTGAACACTGAAACACAGAATCTAAAAATGTCATCACAAGAAAATTGAAAGTGTGAGAAAAGGTTCACTCAATCTACTGATTGCGTAGGTGCTATCTTGGTATCTCTAGTCTCTAGATTTTCTAGGCTGGGTGTGATACCACATGATGCCCCATCTTTTTTTGTTTGTTTTGTTTTGTTGAAACAACAGTGTTAACAGTAAAGTCATGAGAGTCGGTGAACATGAACAGTTGTCAGTTGAGTAGAGACAGTTCAGTAGGTGTAGGGGGGTAGGCTACAGCCTGGTGCAAGATTCGTTCCGTTCGTGCAAATCCATTTGTACCATGAATTTCATTTGACATTTTTGTATTTTTGCTAGACTGCACAACAAACTTATAGTCTAAAACAATTTTCTAAATCTTCAGTTCAAAGTAGCTGACATGAAACAACAACAATGATCATGATCAGGAAGTGAAAATAGGCGTCAACGCACTTCCCAGTCCGAACTTATTGTCACAGGAAATGAATCAGAGCGAGGACACAAAGTAAAAAAACCGTTGACCCTAGTTGTCAAGATGTTGAAATAACGATTACCCGTCAAGAATATTCTTGATTTTGAGGGTCAGCGTCTCCTGAACAATACGGTTATTTATTTCTAAAAGAATCATTGTTACTGTACTCCGTTCCCAACAGTCACCGGCAGTTTCAGAATCACACCGACGGATGGGATGGGGGAAAAGAGGAAGTTGCCATAAATAAGATGGCGCTGTTTGGGATGATATAATTGGTTGATATATAGTCACATGATCAAAGTTCTATTTTCGTTGTACTTTCAGGGCTACCGCCCCCTTCTGTGCCAATTTGGAGGACTCGAAGTAATCTAATTGACAACTTGATCCTTTTTTTCTCTGTACCAGTCTGTAAAACTGACAATAAAACACACTATTGCTTCATTACAGTATAAATATTCAAAATTGATGCACAGCTCTTTGAAATTTTAAAAGTTAAATAAAGCAACATAACGCCACAAAAAGGGTGGTTATTGAAAATCTGGCCAAAGTAATAAGCCGGGCGTTTTATTTACTTTAGGCTCAGGCTAGATACTAGAATCTAGACAACATTCTGCTCAACTCAAACGAACGTTTGGACAACCAAAGGGGGAATCAACGCCCATAACACACTCTGTGCATCAAGTAATTCAGATATATCTATATAAATCAGTGCGCGGAATGCCTGAGTATTTTTTTTCCATTTTGTCTTTTACATTATGTCCTGGTGCTTTTATGCTATTATATTTGGCGTGGTGGGTGCGAGGTGATAACGATAAGTATGACAATTGCCCCGCCCCTTCTCTGTAGTAACCCCTTGAGTTTGAGTGCCTCCTCGACGCTTTGTTCTCGTGACGTTCGATTTGACAGCTTCAATGCCTGGCTTCTCATGCAGTATCTTTTATTACTTTCAGACTAAACGAACAATCTGAGAAAGTTGACAAAGCCCCCTTCCCCCTCATGTATGTTATCTGTCCTTACCCTAGCCTAATGTGGCGTTCCCCATTGTTCCTTCCACGTATTAAAATTCCAGTCATTTGTTCGTAAAAGTTAAAATTTTTTTAAATGTAGATGTAGGTATCTAGATCTAGATCTATCTAGATTCTAGGATTCTAGGTCTAGATCTACACCTAACTATCAACAAGTAAAGGCAAAGTGCTTTTGTTTTTGCTCCACGGTCTGAAGGTTAATGAACAGGAATTAAAGCAGAGTGTAGCTGGAAAGCTACACATTTTTAGGGAGTACTGTTCAATTTTTAGATTTAATACCACCCACTGCTCAATTGCAAGAATAAGATCAGTTTGGTACGATTTGGTCATCGGGGCTGACCAGATTTTCTCCATGGAGGGAAAAGCTACCAAAGTGGCACTAGCCTAGCTGAACGAAACCGGCGATGGCCTTCGAAAGCAAACACGCACAGAAGCCGCCAGATTTTGAACCAAACGGATACTCCTATATGGGCACCATCTCTAAACCCAGAAAACAACAATTTTTAGGAGAGAGAAAAAAAGCCTCAAATATTTCATTCTTTCAACATTTTTGTATACACACATTATCATTCATTATTATTTCTTGCTATTTTTTATGTGTTTAGACATGTTAACACATAGAATTCAACCAGGGGGACGTCATGTTCGTAAATATGAAGAAAATCATTAACTAAGTCTACTTGTCAAGACATATCAAGTTAAAAAAATTTCCACTTAAATAGGGTACAATGCAAAATTTTACTTTTTAAAAGCTTCCAGCAACAGAGGCTTGATTGGTCCATTCTCTTGTGTCAGCAGAATAATGGCAAAACCACAACAGTCACATCAGATAGATATGGTGCTGAGAAAGTTTGGAGAGAATGAATTGATTTTGAAATTTGCCTGGGTGGCGGCTGAAGCCTACTCTTTATCGATTTTAGGACCACCAAGGGATCTTTATTAATGTGTACAACTGGCTCGTGGGACCTCAGAGAATTTTTGGCCTTTTCCTAGAAGGCTAGATGTTTGATTTTACCTACCCTAAGGTCAGGGATGTTTCTCAAAGACAGCATTAAGAAGGATAGTATCCAGGGGTAGCAGTAGAAAGAATCAGGAGTAAAGGAGAGAGGAAGGAGCCCAGGGAAGGCCGGGGGGGGGGGGGGGGGGTCAGAAAGTGGAGACGAAAGCAGATTACAGAACTGATCTTGAGAACTGGAAAGGAGGTGAAAGGAGACAATTTCAGAGAAGAAAACTTTTGCATCACTGTCAGGATTTGATCCTGGGATGTTTTGAATGAGAGGAGAGCATCATACCTCAAGACCACGAGAGCCTCTGGTTGGCTTATGTATGGAAGGAAAATTTCTTCCCTCTTTAGTTTCTTAATCAAGCAACCAGCAGTCTGTTACAGCAGGTCAGATGAGAGTGAGTGCGAAAAAGTAATGGTTTCTGCTATTTCTTTTTTCTTCAGTTTCTGTTGCAGTGACCAGCATGGCACAGATCAGCCAAAAACTCTATGGTGGAGTGGAAGGGTAAGCCTACTTCGATTATATTTGTAGCTTCGGCTTAAGGAAATCTTTTTCTGAATCCAGACTGAACTGTGAAAATTGAAACGTGTGTGTGCTTTTTTTTTCATTGCAGTGGCTTATAAATAATGTTGTAGATTCTGTTTCTCCTCTTATTCCAGTTGTTACAAATGTAATTGTTTTCAAAGAGATGGTTAGTGGGTGACTGGCGGGTGCTCTGGTGTGGTTGGCTTCTCCTTTCCTATCAAACATCTATCGTCTTTATCTCACCTCCTTTTTTTGTGTTGTTACTCTCTTGTAACACCTCTAATCTTCAGCACTTATATGACTTTATTGTGTTAAAAGTGCCATAAAACTCTTACTAAAACAAGGAGATGGTTATGGTGAGAAGATGTTGTGCTTGAACTGACAACGAAAAGGCTAAGTAGGTCGAGATAGATCAGGTGATATCAAGCTATTCATTGAAAGGTAGGTTTATTATTGTCTCATTTTTATCATATCCATTCTGCTAATATTCTTTCCCTTTTGCTTTGTAGAAAAATGGTCTTAAATAGCATCTTAGATTTAATGCAGTAAGATTTTTCTTTCTACTGTTTCAGAGGTGCTTCATTCACAAAGTTTGTACTCGTTGGAGCTGATGGAAAAGTTCTTTCTAGTACTCAAGGACAGGGAACAAATCAGTATGTGAGTGGTCTTATGAGTTGTGAAAATACTGTCATCATTAACCAATTTGTCATATATATTTATTATGCTGTGTCAAAAACTTGCCACTTGCGGCAACATTGTCATCCTGTTTTTCCAAGTATTTGGGGGGAAGTTTTCATTTACCAATATTTTTCTGTATGAACCCCAAAAAATGTTTGTGAGATGTCATGAAATGAATATTGTAAGTAACCAACCATACATTTTGTATTAATACTACTGTCATCGTTATGTTGATAGTCTATTTAGTTAGTGTTGTCTCTTCTGACTTTGCAGTAAAGCTCATGAGGCTTTCTACTATTTTTAGTAGCATACAAGTCAAATCAATAGCTCTATGCTTTTTTTGTTTGTTTGTTTTTTGTGAGACTTGTCACAAAACTCAAATTAGCTTTGTTCTATTTAGTAATTTTTCAACAATGTGAAAATGTATCATGCAATATTGATTGTTCTGTTAATGTTATATTCCTTCAAAACATCACAGTTGATCAGATTTTCTAAATCCAGCACAATGGTGAAGGACCAAGAGCCGTACAGTCCATAAAAAAATTTGCTGTAAATAAGAAAAGGGTGAAAGAAAAGACAAAGAATGTGAAGAAAAAAAAGCAACTCTTTAGACTTTTTATAGACTCGACAGCATTGCTAGATGTTCTTCTATGTTTGCCATTCTTCCACAGTTGATAGGACTTGATGAGTGCTTGAAGCGCATCAATGCTCTCGTCAAAGATGGTCTTAAAAGTGCTGGCCTACCGGAAGACACCACTCTGGAAGGCCTGGTGGGTATACTGCTGTCATGATATATATATTTTGTGTTTGTATTCATTGGAAAAAACCCACAAAAAATTTTTACATTTACTCAAACCTTGCAACTTATTTCTATGAGTAGCAAAGAAAAATGTTGATTTGTCCTATATTGATAATTCCATTCTGATCATTCTGTTTGTGACAATTAGATTTTGTTTTATAGGGCTTTTTAAACTGACTGACGAAATACAATTAATAAGGGTAATTTTTACTATTGTTTAATTAGAGATGGGTTCTATTTCTACTTTCCATTGTATTGTGTTAGTATGCCCCACTATTTTTCCCACTTTCAACTTTCTATGAATGTAGATGGCAGCATATGAAGACTTACTCTTTTCATATTGTCATTTACTTAGCATTAGTCCTTTTCCAAAGCTTCCTAAAACAATAAAACACAAAGGAAATGTGAATGGCATGTGAAGCTGGTGTATTCAGCTGGTAAAAGTTATTTAAGGTAACGTTGCTGCTTTTTGTGGCTTGTTCATCCTGTAATAAGTTTTGTTGCATAAATTTCCAATTTTTTTAACTGTTGGTTTTTATGGATGCAGTGTTTGTCTCTGGTGTTTTACTTATTGTCTGTTCTCCCAGCACTATTCAGTCACCATTGGTTTGATGGTCTTGTCAAGTGCTCTAGCAAACTTACTTTACTTTTCTTTACATTTCCGATCCAGCGTCCACCTGAGTTCAAGCCTTTTGTCCTGTGCTCTATCAAACAGGAACATCCTTTTTTTTGCATATTATCAGAAATCTGTTTTGTTCTCTGAGATCCATTTATAGAAGAATATTCTGATACTTTTTTTGTTTTTTTAGTTTAGTTTTTGTAGAGGTCTTACACACTCACAACTGCATAAGGTCATATGAGCGCCAGAAGATTAGAGGTGTTAAAAGAGAGTAACAAACATAAAAAAAGAAGAAGGGGAGATAAGGACGATAGATGTTTGATAGGAAAGAAGAAGCAAACCACACCAGAGCACCCGCCAACCACCCACATACTTTTTTGTGTATTCCCAGAAATCTGTTCTGTTCTCTGAGATCCATTTATAGAAGAATATTCTGATACTTTTTTGTGTATTCTCAGAAATCTGTTTTGTGCTTTGAGATTCATATCATATAGAAGAATACTCTGACACTTTTTTGTGTTTCAGGGACTGAGCCTTAGTGGTGGGGATGTTGAGGAGGTGCAGAAGGAGATCAAAGCTGCTGTGATGAAAGACTACCCTGCCCTCTCCAGGCACGTGTATGTTGGCAGTGACACCGACTCCGCTCTAGCTACAGCCTTACCCAGAGGTCAGCTTGACTCTTTGTCTCTGAAGGGGTAAACCCACTATGCGGGGCCATATTTTAGTACTATAGCATCTGCAACAGGACACATGCGACTCACTCTCTCTCTCTCTCTCGAGTTTATTCTGAACTGCGGTGATTAACACTCCTTGATGGTCATGTGATACACACAGATATAAGGGACATAACTCGCTTAATACAACGATCACAACCACACACAGCTACTCTCTCTTAACAATACATCACAGGTACGAAATCTGACATGTATGTCACTATACTGGTCGTTAAATAAAAAAAAGTGAACCTATTTCAGTAGTTTTTCATCTCATCAATGATCTCCCGGTAAAAGAGATTTGTTTTTCGGCAATAATTGCCAAAAAGTAATTTGACGTCGAAGTCGTCGTAAAGGAATGCGCCCGAGCCGCTGTCAACTGACCAACCCAGATGGGTCATCCTCTCGCTGTGTACAGTTGGGACATTTGGTTGGTGATGAAGCCTCAGGTATGTTTGGAAGAATATTCAACATTACTTACAAGTAAGTTGATGGCCAAGGGCAGAAGCTACCAAACTCTTAAAAGATCACTTTGGCAGTAGAGGGTGTTTTTGTATCTGTAGCATATTATATTAGACGGGTATATGGACAAAGAAATAGAAACAAGAACTATGAAGGCAAATGCAGTGATCTACCAGCTGGCACTCCGGCTCAGTCACAAGAACCCCCCAACTGAACTGAAATCCCAGCTCATCAATAACATCTTCATACCAACATTAACATACCATTGCCATACATGGTCTCTAAACAAAGCACATGAAAGAAAAATCTATGCATATGAAATGAGGTGTCTCCGCAAAACCATCAACGTCACCAGAATAGACAGCATAAGAAACTAAAACATACGCCTAAAAACTGGAATACCACCAGTAATAAAATTCATAGAGCGTCAAAGAGTCAAATGGTTTGGACATCTAGCAAGAATGCCCCAGAAACTAGCGGCTAGAGCTTACAACTCCGGATAATCGGGCTTCAAATCAAGAGGAAGACCAAGAAAGACCTGCCTGGATGGGGTTAAAAAGGTCCTGGAACAACATCACATATCTATCACAGATGCTGCACACTTAGCACAGGGCTGAAACCTGCACCTCCACTATACATCCTTAGGATACCAGAGGAAGGAAAAAGGAAAGGAAGCATATTATTATAACATTAACATCCTACACAAATGAACATAAAGGGTTTAATCACCTGAGTGTTTTTGATATTTCTGTCTTAGACAGGTGGGCATCTTACACAGTGTCATTATTATTTTCTAAAATATGCCAGGGAGACGCTTGGGAATGTTTTGTCCAGGGGATTGTCTAAAACAGATGGCCGTAAGATTCAATTGTATAAAGAAACTGATTGTAAGTGTGACCCCATCCATCGGGTTGGAGATTGTATCCTGAAATAAAGGTGTTTTATTCCACTTTTCTTAGCTTAGTATTCAACAACGAGTCGAGATGGAGTATGAGAATGATAGTGATAATGATAAACACCTTTAGTTGCAGCCATGATAGACGTCCCTGCACGGACAGAGACCATAACATGGCCAGCTACAACCGCTATAGTGAAGTCAAGCGAGTTATCCTGTGGACAAGATGATGGATTTATAAACCGATAGTTTCAAAAATTTGAAATTCTTGTCACAGAAAGTGGATTAGACAGTCAGCAAAACACTTTAATATTAATCTTAACACGCTTGTCTTCTCCGTGAAACTGTGGAGAATCTAACCATTACACCACAGATGCGGGTAGGAAGACCAGAGTCGTCCTCAGTGTATGAGTGGAGAGACAAAACCAGCATGTCACTTGACACTACTTACCCCCCCCCCCCCCCCCCCCCCCCGCGATGGTGCTACTGACTGAAGTGTCTTTAGGCCATTCCCAAAGGGGGGGACATTGACATCTTGAGTTCTTATGCACAGTAGAATTGTAATTGTAAATAGGCTGATTCATCAATGTCATGCTCATAACTGTGCCTGCATGCGGGGAACTGCTACTTTTTCTCTCCTAATCCTTACTATCGTCATTTTTCCTCTACTTCTTTTGTGTGTTTGTCACTCTCTTGTGACTCGCTATTTCTGGGGTGCCTTGTTAGTCGATGCAGACTTTGTGCTGTTGAAGCTAGAGAGGTGAGCAGAGTAAGTCTGATTCCCTGTAAGGACTCCTCTGTTGACATCCACCCCTTGGCGCTCATATGACCTTATGCAGTTGCGAGCGCTGTAAAAACCTCTACTAAAACTAAAAAATAAACCTTTTATTTTTCCCTTATAAAGGCGAGTATCTAGTGTTTCGATGTTTTGCATTCTGTCTTTGTGGGTAGTTGGCGGGTGCTCTGGTGTGTTTTGCTTCTTATTTCCTGTCAAACATCTATCGTCTTTATCTCCCCTCTTTCTTCTTTGTGTTTGTTACTCTCTTGTAACACCTCTAATCTTCGGCACTTATATGACCATATTGTGTTGCAAGTGCCGTAAAGCACTTACTAAAACAAACAAATTCTGTCTTGTTTGACTTTCAGGTGGCATTGTCATGATTGCTGGCACTGGTTCCAACTGTCAACTGATCAACCCAGATGGGTCGTCCGCTCGCTGTGGTGGGTTGGGACACATGGTTGGTGATGAAGCCTCAGGTATGTTTGCAAGAATATTCAACATTATTTACAAGTTGATGGCCAAGGGCAGAGGCTGCCAAATGTTTAACCCTATCCGTACGCCCTGGGGTCATTTTGTACCCCTGGGGTTGTATTCTTCACATTTTAGAATACTTCTAGTACAAAGATCTCTTTGAAACTTTCAGTATTTCTCAAAAAATCATTTTGACCGACTGGTATGCAAAGCGTACGGATCCGATTAAGGAGTAAATTTCCTCTCAGAGCTTGCATCAGAATAACCGTAAGTTACAGTCAGAATACTGAGTATTTATCAAGCTTGAGATTATGATTGTTTACATTGTGTGCATGTGTACGTATGCGTGTATGTGTGTATGTATGTGTGTGTGGTGCGTGCGTGAGTGAATATGTGTTTGCACGAGTATGTAACACTATGTACCTTTAAAATTGATTTGTAAATCCATAATATGTATCATGTTAAGCGCATAGAGCATTGCATAAGTGGATATGCGCTATATAAATACAATCCATTATTATTATTATTATTGTTCGCTTATATTACGCCTGTGACTGTAAGCCTGTGTATGTGTGTATGTGTGTGTGTGCGTGTGTGTGTACAAGTGGTGAAACACCAAACCAGTGTGCCAGGGTCTGGACAATAAAGATGTATCTTATCTTATCTTATCTTATCTTACTTTAAAGGGTTTGGTCACCTGAGTATTTTAAACGTTTCCTTTGTGTGATATATGCTACTGTGAGATGGTGGAGTATGATGATAACCTCATTTTGTAAATAACAGTCGAACCTGTGTAAGACGGAATCGCAAGGGAGCCAGAAAAAAAATTCCGTCTTAGACATTTTCCGTCTTAGACAGGGGAATTTAGAGGGAGACGGGGGTTGGTGGGGGGGAGGGGGTTCAAAGGCCCAGCCGTTGGGATCAAGGGTCGCTTGTCTGATCGGCAAGCAGTGGTCAAAATTTCACACCTCTCAATTGCTATCCTGTCACTGTCTGATAATGACATGTGTCCATCTTACTTATCCAATTCCCACCAGTGCTTGCCTTTCATGGGAACACTGTTTGACCTATTAAAAACAGAAACGTTTGAAAATCTCCTTTGCTTCCACCCTTAACCCCACCCACCAATGCCACCCCTCACTGCCATCATTATAACCACGGTTTGAGGAACTCTTTGCTCGGCTGGCCGTACAATCAGGGCGGCAGGCATTGGTCAATCTAATTTCACCTTTCCCAGGAAAGTTTCCGTAGTGGCTTGCTACTCGTGCACTCTCACGGGCAGTTGTGAGATTTCACATCCACACTACACTGACCATCTGCATCGCTCAGGGCTCACATGATGGGGTAACATCTTGGTGGTTATAAAAACCGCCTAGGGTAACATCTACCCCCAAATTGCACCCCTACTCCCCTTCCTCGCCCAGCGGCATGGCCATAGCGTTAAGTTTAGGGCAGGCTGAACCAAACTTGCGAGTTTTGTTTCAAATCAGGGCTGAGCGGGCAAAGCATTTTCCGTCTTAGACAGGTGAAACCAACGGAAGGGAGCGGACTTTTCTTTCCGTTTCGGCGTTGGACAGGTTTCCGTTTTATTCAGGTAATTAAAGAGGATTATATCAAGGGGGGAGCGGGGAGATTCCGTTAAGACAGGTTTCCGTTTTATACAGGTTTTCGTAAAGGCAGGTTCGACTGTACTTATCATTTTAGAAAGCTTTGACTTAAATACAGTCGAACCTGCTCTAACCCTGTCCGTACGTCGTGTTTTACTATCCTATCCATACAACGTGGGGACCTCTGTGCCACCACTTAACCCTGTCCGTACGTCGTGTTTTACTATCCTATCCATACAACGTGGGGAACTCTGTGCCACCACTTAACCCTGTCCGTACGTCGTGTCTTACTATCCTATCCATACAACATGGGGAACTCTGTGCCACCACTTAACCCTGTCCGTACGTCGTGTTTTACTATCCTATCCATACAATGTGGGGAACTCTGTGCCACCACTTTCCGAAGAGGAAATTTCCTTGTTAATCCGATCCGTTCGCTTTGCATAGCAGTCTGTCAAAATGATTTTTTGAGAATACTGAAAGTTTCAAAAAGATCTTCGTACTAGAAGTATTCTAAAATGTGAAGAATACAACCGCGGGGGTACAAAATGACCCTAGGGGGTACGGATGAGGTTAAGTGCCACCAGTTCTAGGCAGTCACATGTACAAACTACCACTTCACACTTCTATTGGTGGGCGGTTGGCGGGTGCTTTGGTGTGGTTTGCTCCTTCTTTCCTATCAAACATCTATCGTCCTGATCTCCCCTTCTTCTTTTTTATGTTTGTTACTCTCTTGTAACACCTCTAATCTTCTGGCGCTCATATGACCTTATGCAGTTGCAAGCGCCGTAAAACCTCTACTAAAACAAACAAACAAACATTTCTATTGGGATTTTTCTCTATTATAATTACACTATCCAAGAGGACCACCTGTCTAAGACTACCATTTTTCTCCTGACTGTGGGTGGTTATCTTGTTTTAGTTTTAGTAAGAGTTTTACGACCTCTTCCAACACAATAAGGTCATATAAGTGCCAAAGAGTAGATTATGTGTTACAAGAGAGTAACATACACAAAAAAGAAGGAGGAGAGATAAGGACGACAGATGTTTGATAGGAAAGAAGGAGCAAATCACACCAGAGCACCCGCCAACCGCCCACTTGGTTATCCTGGACAATTTATACTTTAGTTTGTTACTACTACACTGCTATTGTGATTGTGTTTGTCCACTGTGAGATGAATGTATACATGTAGTCTTAAAGTGTGTTTTTGAAATGAAACATGCTTTAAAATCTGATTTTGTTGTTGTGGCATGATTTGAAAATGTGTTTCTGTCTTTAAAAGTATTTGTATTAAAGATATCATTGTCTTCAGTTCATCAAGAACTCAACAATATCTTTAGACAATTGGAGGGTAGGGGGACAAAATTATATTGTATCTCAAAAATGCAACTTTCAAGGAGAAATGGAAAACTGAATTAGTTTGTATTTATTTTTCACTGGCAATGTTTAAAAAATGTTATTTGACATGGCCTTTCTTGGTTTTCTCTTTTGCATAAGCTTACTGTTTTAACGCAAGATGGCTTTTTTGTGCACCGTCAACTGTCTGTTAATTAATTAAGAGATGTTTTGTTTCTAGATATGATAGTTTAGTCGTGCTTCTTTGAAAATGTTCTCTTCTTTATTATCAAACTCAAACATCTATTTTCCTTATCTCCCGTCCTTCTTTTTTATATTTGTTACTACTCTCTTGTAATACGTCTAATCTTCTGGCGCTCCTATGACCTTATGCAGTTGTGAGTGTCGTAAAACCTCTACTAAAACAAAACAAAAATTTGAAAAAGTTCAGGGTATTGTCTAATATTACTGTTCTTGTCCCTCCACAGCGATATGGATTGCTCTTCGGGCTATAAAGATTTACTTTGACAACGAAGACGGATTTGAAGCATCGGAGCACAGTGTTGAGGAAGTGGAAAAGACGATATTTCGATACTTCAATGTTAGTGAACTGCTAAGTGTTACGGTAGCGAAATTGTTGTGCATGGATTAGTACTCTGAAACGAGTTGATCATTCTTTATTTGTGGGTGGTTGGCGGTGGGTGCTCTGATGTGGTTTGCTCCTTCTTTCCTATCAAACAACTGTCGTCTATATCTCCCCTCCTTCTTTTTTGTGTTTGTTACTCTTATCGTAACACCTCTAATCTTCCTCACTTATATGACCTTATGCAGTTGCGAGGCGGGTACTCCGGTGTGGTTTGCTCCTTTCCTATCAAACATCTATCGTCCTTATCTCTCCTTCTTCTTTTTGGTGTTTGTTACTCTCTTGTAACACCTCTAATCTTCGGCTTTTATATGACCTTATTGTGTTGGAAGTGCCATGAAACTCTTATGAAAACTAAACTAAAAAATAATGAAAACAAGGAAATCAGCATTTTTTTGTGCCGATGGGCAATTATTTTCTAATTTTCTCTTTTGGGCTCTACACCATTTCTGTCTATTTAAAAACACGTTTGTGTGTGGATTTTACTGAAAAAATTAATTAAAGGCACAAAAAGTAAATTTTCAGTTTCCAAGGACTCATAGGCTATGGAAGTTTCCAAACTTTGGTGGCCACTTTCTCGCTGATTTTACCTGACCAGACCATCATTGATTTATTTATAGAGGCACCAGCCATCCATGTCCTCTAATTTAACCTCTGAAACCAGGCGACCTCATCCTCCTTTGATCACAAATATTTTGACTTCTATCCAACATAGATGGAAATTTTTTTTCACCAAAAAGAAGGCAAATGAATAGGCTTTAAGATGATACCAATAACCCCATATGCCCAAAAATTGACGAGCGCCTGATTCCACCTCGTCGTGACACCTATATATATAGAAAAATGCAAGGGGGACGTGGTTGTTTGTATGGGTGATTGTCTTGGGCAGTTGGTCGGTCGTTAAAGCAGGTTTGGCTCTGTTTGACAGTTTTCAGAATTGCACTGGTTCGGTGGTATATTGTAAATACAAGTATACCTATTGTTTAGCATCTAAATTGTGAGGCGACGTGGTGAAATCAGGTGCTCATCAAAATAATCAAAGTGAAGAAACTGGCATTTTTGCGTAGGTTTCAGAATTTTTATCGAATTTTCGTTTTTCGGCTCAACACCTTTCACGCCCATTAGAGAACACATTTCAGTGTGGATTTTACTGAAAAACATTGATTAAAGGCACAAAAAATGTAAATTTTTAGTTTCCACTGATTTTCAAGCTCAGGAAATAACTCATTTTTGGCGGCCCTTTTCTCACTTATTTTATCTCTGAAACCAGGTGACACCCACCTCCTTCATTCGCAAATATCTTGACTTCTATTCATGATAAATGGATTTTTTTTCATCAAAAACAAAGCAAAAAAAAACAAGCTTTAAGGTGATACTAATAAGGCTACACGCACCAAAACTGACGAGAGCCTGATTCCACAGCATCGTGACACATTTACTCTTTCTCTCTCGTCATGTATGACAACTCACTTCAGCAACTCAGTTGTGTCTTCTCTGTTGCAGATTGACAACAGATATGGACTACTGTCTTTTCTCTACTCAGACTTTGTCAAGGCAAAGATTGCAGGCTTGTGTAAAGAATTAGCTGATGGTGAGTCGCTGTTGTGGGATATATGGGAAGGTGGGGGAATTCCACACCCCCACTTACAGCCCTTAGAACCTACAGAAATCTGTTTGACGTTCAGCTTTAATCATTTGCTTCTGTCTGCCATGTTTTATTTTTCAATTCAGCTTTATTTTCTTGTACGTCTGTCTTTTTTTTTCATTTTGGCATGTGTGCTTATGTGGGTGTGGAATTGCCCTGCAATATTACATTTTTAATTAAGTTGAAAAATGGAAGTATGGGGATGGTGATATCGTAGAATTCATATTATGTTTAGTTTCCTAACTTATCAGACCCAAAGTTAAACTGTTGCGGAGGATGTGTCCTCTTTCCACACAAAGTAACTTCTTTAACACTTGTCTAACAATCCAATTGAAAAGTATGGTGTGGGATTCCCCCATTTTACTACATTGACGGTGTCGGGCACAGATGGGCCATCTCCCAGGAAGCCTGTTTCACAGGCTAAGAACTGTTTTATTGAACTGTCAAAGAGCACTCCGACTCAGATTTCATGTCAATGTCTCGTGCTTTTCAATTTGTTGAATTTTTACGTCATTTATTGAGATGGCAACGTATTTGACCTTGCAGTACAAAATAGTCAAAATTCAAGTTTTGGAAAATTTTAGAGTTGGCTTATAACCCCTCGGGCGGTGCTACTGACTGAAGTATTTTTAGGCCATTCCCGAAGGGGGGAGGGGGGGGGACATTAACATCTCGAGTTCTTATGCACAGTAGAATCGTTACTGTAAATAGGCTGATTCATCAATGTCATGCTCATAACTGCCTGAACTGCAACAGGGAACTGCTGCTTTTTCATTCCTTATCATTACTATCATGAAGGGGGGCAAGTTTAAATGAACAAAATCTAGCTATATCTATATTCTTTATCTCTTTAAGACTGTGCAAACGTTGAAATAAGACATTTGTTTTTTCCCCTTTCTTTAGCCTCAGTGCCGGAAGTTTTTGCGGTTGATTTGTGGTGGTAGAGCAAAATAGTAAACACTGTATGAAACTTCAACTTGATATCTCGACAGTAGAAAGAATTGGGTATAACATTAGGGCTGTGCTTTTAATTCATATTCATGAAGATTATTAAGAGTATTGATAAAAAAATCCCACTTATTTCTGTTAATGCGTTTTGGTGGGACATCCTCTGAGAATGCTTTAAATCCCAGAATATATTGCGTCGTGGGTTGCAAATCGAGAACCAAGCTCTGGTGTAAATGAACAAAGAAGTCTGGGCAGATATGATGTGATCATATCAAGAACTGTGGGTGATTGGCGGTTGCTCTGGTGTGGTTTGCTTCTTCTTTCCTATCAAACATCTATCGTCCTTATCTCCCCTTCTTTTTTTTATGTTTGTTACTCTCTTTTAACACCTCTAATCTTCTGGCGCTCATATGACCTTATGCTGTTGCGAGTGCCGTAAAAACTCTACTTAAACAAATATAAAAAACTATTGAATGCTGTGTCTCTGTTTTTATTAATTATTCATAAATTAAACTTTTTCCTTTGCAGTCTGTTTTGAGAAGCAAGACCCGCTCTGCTGTGCTTTGTTCAGAGATGCTGGAAGGATGGTGGCCAAGCATCTTGTCGGAGTTTCCTCCAAAATTCATGAGGTATCATCAAAAGAAACAGACCACAATATTCCGCCTACGAACAGAACATATACAGCTCAACTTCCACCTGAGTAAAATAAACCCGGAACTTCCCCCAATGTGTCCCTTGTGTGACTATGCATATGAGACTGTGGATCATCACCTGTTCCTCTGCACATCCCTAAATGACATCAGAGCTACCCTTCTCCCTCCGAGACCTAACTTTGACAACCCACTCTACGGAACAGTACAGCAACTGCAGCAAACCTGCACTTAACACTTCATGGCATTGGACAGAAGGGCGAGAGCCCAGCTGTTGCTGGATCGATAACAAACAACAACAACAACAACATCATCAAAAATTGAAAATTATTTTTTAAATTATGGTGTTTTTACGCCCGGATGGACACAATTTAGACAATTATATCTTGGGCTTCGACCGTGCCTGTCAGGGCTAACTAGAACTGGGAAGGGTACAACATCCCAGCAGAGAGATCGAGATACTCGATAATAATTCCTCCCCGCTCAGGAATTGAACTCGGATCTTCTGCATGTGATGGGGAAACATCTAACTCCTTTTTTTTTTTAATCCCTTGCCCATTTATATGAGATTGACGCCTTTTGATTAGTAGAAAAAAAGTGTGTATGATAGTGTCCAATAGTGTGTTATGTGTCTACTTAGTATGACAATTAACTGTAATAGCAGATAGAGATTCCAGGATTATAGATGTAAGTCATTTATCTGAGAGCGGTGATGATTTTAGATATAATGGTGGTGATGAGTGATGATGTGGGATTGCGTTTAAGTAATGTGAGCGTTAGTCCTATCTTCCTCTGCTTCAATGAGTCACGAGGTTTGTTTCTTCTTTCCCATCAAACACCTATCGTCTTTATTTCCCTCCTTCTATTTTGTGTTTTGTT